TACATGTTTTTATTGTTAATTTCTGGTTGCAGTTTTAACATTTTAGAAGTAATTGAATCAAATAAAATTACAACAACGATTGTCATTGTGTAACATAATAAAGCTTAGTAGCCACGTATCACGTGGTAAGGCAAACTATCTACTCGCCGTCTATGTTGTCATATTTCTGGATCTTTTGGTATCCTGGTCTTGTTTCTGCAGAGAACAGAAAGACTAAACGTTACAATCATTTATTTAAGAAAATTTTGTTGGGCAGTGAATCGTGGTTGACAGCTTAAACTGCGGTGTAGAAAAATATTCAGAGGAATCTTACTGACAAATAAAACCTAAATGTAATCATAATGATATTTTAAGGAATCATTGGGTATATACCAATTGCTCCTGGACTTAAACGAGTATGTGGACCTCCCGTACTTATTTCAACATTTACGTTTCCAGAACACAAACAACCAGTCGGTAAAGTGTGACAAAAATCTACCTGCAGGTTCTATTTCAGAGAATTACCTTAACGTCTGTTAGTCGTTAGCACGCGGCGTTACGCACCTTAGACAGTTAACATTCGTGTGTTCCCTCCACTAGGTTTCTGGAGTAGGACGTGAATTGTATATATGCTAGGTAACTCCCAAGGTGCTCATGAAAGCATGCTTTGTACCTTGAAGGGCAGAACAAAAACCAATGAAATTATTATTTTGACCATTTATTAGCTAGTCAATATCTGGCCTCTCTTTAGTTTCTGCCACAAATTGCAAACAAAAAGCCAGGCTCTGTCTTGGCCTCTTTTCTCCGCTGTACTGTGACTAATATATCTCCCTCACTGGGACAATATTTTATTACAGTAGCCTGGGAAGCATGGCAGTTTCGTCGGGCGCAATACTGAGTGGCGAAGCTTCTCGTTGCTCCCGCCCCAATCTCCACGAACTTTCACAGCCCTCGCGCACCTTTACTTGTTTGCGCGCCCCAGCAAAACTGTCATGCTTCGCAGGCTAGAATTGCGGTGGTGGCACTAGCGCCGGGTCTGTCTTCGCTTTCTTTGTCCGTAACCTTTACGCCGCCCACAATTTTTTTTGCTGCTTTTTAAAGAGAAGTGGGAGCGTCAAAACAAGGACGGATCTAAAGATAATTGAAGATGGATGAAAAGAAATCAAAAGGAAATTTAAGGTCGTGTTTCAGGGATCCTTTTCCCGCCATTTTGTCGCATTAAGTACGGCTCATTGGGGGATTTCTTTCTTACCTTTTTTCTTCGGCTTTGGAGTATACAAAAACTTCCTTCAAATACATCCCTGTACCCTGGAACTGCACCTCGATGGAGCGTAATTTTCCAATGCTACGAGACGATGACAGAACAAAACTTTCTTTTCCAAATTCAACCTCTCTGAAAAAGATTTTGAAACATACTGAGCGAATCGTATACATGTATACCTTACCTAAGATCATAGCCACTAAAGAAGGCTTCTTTATACGCCAATCCGCTCCCCCCTGTGCTAAGGGGCCAGTTTAGAAGCGTCAAATATATGTTGTTCCAATATCGTTAAATGATGTTGAATCCATCTGAGCAGCTTCAAACGTTTAAAACATCCAACACCAGCCAACAAGGTTTTATATATGATGCCTTGCAGCTAACAATGTTAGATGAAGTTGGACCAACATGCAAAATGTTTAAAAACGAGTTTAAAAAGACTGTTACGCGCGCCGTTGCATGTGCAATTCTCGTCGCAGTGATTTTTTCTCAGTCATGTCTTTTTAACTAGAACAACTAACAGATTGTAAGGATGGCACTCACAATGCACGCGTGCGTGGCTACTGCTTCAGTCATTGGACTGATACCATTACTCTTTCTCACCTTGCTTCATCTGTCTCCACTGTTCCACTCATTCCCGTTAACTTGATTTTAATTTTGTTGTCCAAAATGTCAAAGATGAAACGCTTAGTTCTGTCTTCAAAAAATAAGGTAATGCGAAAATAGTTGTTTACTGCAAAACAATCAGAAAGAAAACTGTCTTTAGAATGATGCTGGAAAAATTACCTACGATATAACACGGATAGAGCTATAGAGCTTTTTCACTCACGTGGCCAGCATCTGTGCACATTTATTGGAACAAAAGAAGGCGTTTTCATAAGAAAAGAGTTCAACTCCCAAAGGATTGTTTTAGGACACCAACATTGCAGCCGATTGAGGATTCATTGTTTTGGAACAACAATAGACACCAGTTCTGTAATAAGCCATTTTATAGTTGTGGGCTTAGTGTCCTAGCCTTTGAGAGAAAGCGATCGAGGCTGAGGTTGGCCTTGTTTTGATACAAACCTCTCTTTTCTAATGCAAATTTAGCTTAAGAAATACTACTTAGCATAAGAACAACATGATTTACATAATACAGCAGGAAGGGTTGTATCAAAACATAGTCAGAGAACTCCAGCCTCGTTTCCACCTGTAACTGAACTGCAAAATTAAATGGACTATTATAGCTTTCAAATGTGGTATACCGTGAAATATCCCATGAATGACGCACGCATTTGTTTAGGTGAGTATGTAACGTAAGCTACTACTACTACTTATCACATGACGAAGTAAAATGGATGAACTTTATCATTACAGGTAGTGGAAGCAAGTCACTTTTCAAGCTCTAGTTATACAATTTAATTGATGACCACCTACGTTCAACTGCTGACGACCGCGGAAAATCGCAGAATATGAAATGGTATAGCTTTTTGATTGGCTGTATTCTTAAATATCCGATCTACAAGCTTAGATTAGATCTAATTTTCTATAATAAGTTACAACACACCACAGAATGGTTCGTTTTCGTCTGTTGTCAGAAATGCTAATATGGTCTTGTTAGTACGATATTGGTCAGCGTTGTATCCCATTTGTGGGCAAGCGCCTTCACAAGACAAGCATTTTCCTTTCTGGAAGTCTCGCCAACTGCCACATGGGAAGGTCGTCATTGTGCACACGTTACTGATTGACGCAGTGAAATAAGCCACTGACTTCATGTGATTGCAGGCAACTATCTCTGACAAAGAGACTTGGGCATTGTCCAAGAAGGAACCCACTGCACCTGGGAAACACATCAAATATGAAATAGCTATAATTCTACATTTTCATTTAAGAGGATAGTTGGCTGACGTGGGAGGGTGCATTTAAATATATACTTGTGAACTGTAGCAATGTGGCTACACTATTTTTGTCTTGCTACGAATCAACTTTTATGTTGTGCAAAATTAACCTTGCAGTTACGAACACTTTCAATGTACACCCTTATGTATGATCAGGAATGCTGGTGCTTCGGAACTTCCGGTTCTACTGCACATGAGCATTCTAAGCTTTTGTAGGAATAGAATTCCTCGGCTTTTTGTTCGGAACGACGAGTTCTC